CTAAGGCAGCAGTTCTCAACCTGTGGGTCGCGACCCCTTTGGGGGTTGAAAGACCCTTTCACAGGGGTCGCCTAAGACCATCGGAAAACACATATATAATTACATGTTGTTTTTGTGATTAACCACTATTCTTTAATTATGTTCAATTTGTAACAATGAAATTGGGGTCACCACAACATGAGGAACTGTATTAAAAGGTCACGGAATTAGGAACCACTGCTTTAAGCTATTCTTCTTTATTCTACTTTCTTTTATATTTCTGGTATATTTTTTCTAAGAGTATACAAATGTCAGTATTTATTTTGTGTTTTAGATGGTCTCTTTTTAAAAAAATATATTTTATTGATTTTTTACAGAGAGGAAGGGAGAGAGATAGTTAGAAACATCGATGAGAGAGAAACATCGATCAGCTGCCTCCTGCACATCTCCTACTGGGGATGTGCCCGCAACCAAGATACATGCCCTTGACTGGAATCGAACCTGGGACCTTTCAGTCCGCAGGCCAACGCTCTATCCACTGAGCCAAACCGGTTTCGGCAGACGGTCTCTTTTTTAAAAAGTCAGGTTGTAAAGCATGTAGTAAAAGCCATCCTTTTTATGTGTACAGTTCCAAGAATTTTGTCAAAAGTATATATTCATATAGAAGATCTAGAACATTTCCATCACCCCAAAAAGTTTCCCTGTGCCCTTAATAGTGAGGCACTATCCCACCCTCCATCCCTAGCAATCACTAATTTGTTTTTTTTGCCTATGTGTTTTTGCTTTTTCCAGAATTTTACACAAATTGGATCATTTTAAATGTAGCTATTGAATCAGGCTTCTTTCATTTAGCGTAAGCTAAATTTCCAGATTCACTCATGTTGTTGAGTCCATTAGTAGCCACTCCCTTTCATTGCTGAGTAATATTTGTTGCATGGACGCACCACAGTTCGTGTGTCCATTCAAGTTGGTCTTTTAATAAAAGCTTCCTGGGCATTCAGATTCTGGGTTTAATTTCTGGAGCGACAAAGTCCGAGTTCATCTTCCAGCTCATACACTCACTGTGTGCTTAGCTTCCTCATCAATTAAATGAGAATAGCACCAACTCCACAGGCTTATTTTGACATTTTAAATGGACTAATAAGAAAATGCTTAGAACAGCTTCTGGTACATAGCAAGCACTCAGCAAATGTTCATCTTTAATTCTCTTATAACTAATTTTTTCTGCTTTAAAATTTTTGAAACTTTTTTATTGTCAGATTCCTATTGCGTGCTTTTTTTGTCTTTTAATATGGTAGACAAAAAACATAATTATAAAAAAAATAAAGCTACTCATTGAGAATTTACCCAGTGCCAGGGTAATGTTAAGCACTTGACATGCAACATCATGTTTAACCTCGTAACAAGTCAATAAATAGGTACTGCCCTGATTTCTATAGATGAGCATTGGAACCTAATTTGCTTGGCCTGGCAGTACTGTGAGGATACTCCATGCCCTAAGCAAAAGGCCTTCGGTGTGCTTCCCCTTTTAGCAGAACCAGGAAGGACTCTCTTACCTTTCTCACAAAAACACGGCATTTGGGGAACTAAGTGGGGGCAGGCATGTCTCTCCCTTCTGGCGAACAACCCTTTCCCACCACCCTCCCCTTTCAATTCTCAGTATGAGTCCATCTGGCTCATTACCAGGGGTATGGTAACCTTGTAACATATAAAAAGCCAGCTAGAAAAACTGGGAAACATGTCACAGTTCCTTTGTTTCTGTGAGAGTAAAAAATAACAAAAATTTCTAGAGGGTGGTGTGGGGTGGGGAAGGACATAAAAACAAAAATGAGACCAATACAGGGCATCCTCCTCAAACCTAAGCTGCTGCCCTGCCC